TATATATATGGTCTCCCTACATAGTTCAGATTCATAGTGATCCTCCTGTCTCAGCTTCGCCAGTGATGGGATTACACACTTGTGCCACTGCACCAGGTTCCCAGAGCTGACACGGCATGCAATACCAAGGATTGAACTCAGGACATTATGCTTGCCTGGCAGACACTTATGCCACTGAGTTATCTCCTCAGTCCAATAATAGGTTAAGTTGATATTGTCCTTATTTGCAAAAGGTATGAGATCAGATCTCCGGTCAAAATGACTTGTGATTAACTATATTCAAAGTCCCTCTAATATTTTATAATTAGTGGTGGAAAACCAAGAAACACTTTTAACGATAAATTTGCCTTTTTAAATAATACATTAAAATGCAACCATATTTGTGTTCTATTTTACTTTTTGTTCATAAATATTGAATAGGAGTCAGGCTGTCTAATAACTACCACAAAATTCTCAGTACAACTACTAAAGTTTTTGATTAATAATGCTTTCTTTAAATAAGCTAAGCTATAGGTGTACTACATTTTTTATTTTGATTTTAATATTTTAGTTATTTTCTTTATCATATATAAGCTAATAGTTTAGATGTTACTTGTATTTCTCTCTCTTGTCTAATATCTTAGCTAATGTTTCCAGAACTGTATTGAATAGGAGTGGTGATAGTGCACCTCCTTGTCTTGTACCTGATTTTAGCATAAGAGCTTTCAGTTTTTCTGCATTTAGAATGATGTTGGCTGTTGATTTGTCATCAATGGCTTTTATCCAATTGAAGTAGACACCGTTTATTCCAATTTTCTATAAGGCTTTGGTCATGAATGAGTGTTGGACTTTGTCAAAAGCCTTTTCTACATCTATTGAGGTGATCCTGTGGTCTTTGGTGTTGGCTGTATTGATGTAGCATATTCCATTTATAGATTTGCATACGTTGAGCCATCCTTGCATTCCTGGGATGAATTCTTCCTGGTCATGGTGCATAACCTTGATGATTTGCTGTATTCTATTTGCTAGTATTTTATTGAGGATTTTTGCATCCATAGTTTGTGTGTCACTAAGAACACACATTCCAGAGTACTATGTTTGGAATTGGCCGGGGACAACAGGAAGATGACTAAGCAAAGATACAGATGAATTTTGAAAATGCATCTGATACATTCATCCATAGGTCAATCCCTTGTAAATCTATTGAATAAATCATCTTTGCAATTGCTTTATATCTCATCGTTGTTTTCTTTATTTTGAATATTTATTGTTTCTACTTTAACATTTAATTTTTCTGTAAGAAAGTATCAACATACTGGATATTAACTTTATTGTGAACAAAAAATTTTAAAAGGCCATAGCCACTTTAGGTTCACTAATTTTTCTTTAATCACTTTAAAAAAAATCTCATTTTATTATATGTGTGTAATAAAACATACACTTAAAATGATAGGTCATATTTTTGAACAGCAATATTCAAAGTAACAGACAACATTAATTTAAGAGAAAAACATTAATTATTGATTACTGTTAACTGTGTTTGTGTGTTTGTGTTTTGTTTTAGTCAATCTCTTGGATTCCAAAACGATTCAAGGGGAGCTGGGCTGGATCTCTTACCCATCGCATGGGGTGAGTTCAACAAGCTCTGGAAGGAAAACATGCTTCTGTACTTTGCCTCTCTTAGACAAAGGAATTGGTGGAAGGAATTTGGGGCTTGTTCTCTAAAGTCCTGTATGTCATGAAAAATTATATATGTATATTCAGAATATGGATTCATATAGCCTAATAGTTACGTCCCACGGAACTATTGAGAAAATATAACTGCCTTTCTTCTGAATCTGTTGGTGAAGCAGCAGCACTCTTTAGGCACAAAAACATGAATGGACTGAATAATTATCTTACTTATCATTAGCATTATATCGGTGATCTAAATGTGAACACTTAGTGTTTTCTGTGATATCTCTAGAGCAGATGAAGTTTTAAGACATTTAAATTTTAACTTGTGTAGAAAGTATGTCACATTTAGTCAGGAATCTCTTAAATCATAGAGTAAAATTAGCCATGCTGACTACTCCAAATAGGGTGGTGTTTGTCATCTATAGTGACAACCTCTGTACCTTAGTTTATTCATTTAAACCATCTCTAATTCATCTAGATTATTTGTAAACTTCACATTTGCTTAGAAAACAAGAAATGTGTTCATTTATGTTTTAATCACTTTAGATGAATTTTGTATTTTATCAAGAAAAGTAGATTATTGAGTTGTGCATCATTATTATTAAAGTACGTGTCACTTTAGCATTGCAGCTGCTGATCATGAGCCTTTTATGTAAGAAATATTTCATTTTCCCCTTTTTAGAACAGAAGTCATCTTTAGGGAAAATCCTTACTTGCACAAAGCTGTGACAAATGCTTACATATACAACATATTCACGCAAGGGTAACTTGCAAGAAAAGCAAGCTACTATTCTGAAATATTTTTCATAGGAACAAGTTGCTATGGTCATGTTCCTTCCCCAACAGACCTTTTTGAGAAAGAGACTATCATTACTTACATGCAGTGCTGTGTGCTCAGTTTCCAGGCCTCTATGCCTGAGCACACCAATTTTTACAGTACCGCAGCAGCCTTGTCCCCAGCGGATGGTTTCCATCAGGGTTACCTCATCTATCTGTCATCTTTGTATCTGCTTCTCTTCCTGACACACCTTGACATTGACAAAATGCCAAAGCCTGCCATCAGGCCTCCAGGAGTTGCTTTGGAGGGATAGGATGAAATAAGCCAGGATTCGGTTTTCCCATAGTGAAGAGAAATGGGATGACGGGGACCGAAGCGCAGCCCAGATTGTCATGAAGACTGAACCAAAACTCAGCACTGAGCTGTAACACTTGTTTAAAACTAATCAGTGGTTTCTTAATTTTTATTTAATAAATTTGAGGTTTTCCTTATGCTATCTGATAAAGCACCATGGAATACTTTTGTCTAATGCTATAGGAAAAACACCAATCATAGTGACATTTCACTAGTGGAATCACATATGTATATTTTAAGAACTAGAAATCAACTTGTATATCAAATCAACATTATATTCTGTGATTTCCTCTAAAGAATGAATAAAGACAGCAGATAACTATATGTGGTGAATTGGAGAAAATGAAATCCTTGTCATTCTTGTAGTTTAACAGTTTCCCATTTCCAATCTCAGATCTATGATAAGAAAGTGTTGGCGCTTCTCCATCCAGAGATGTGCTGAGTGTGGAGTGTGTACTTCTGGGGCCCGGGCACATGCAGTCTGCAGTGCACCCACCAAGGGCGTCAACATCAGGAGCATGCCACAGTACAGATGCTCAGCCCCGCCCAGAGCGCTGAAGCAAAATCTGCACCTCAACATTATCCATCTCCAGGAACTCTTAGCACATTAAATTTGAGAAACACTCTTCAGCATAACTCACCTCTTGACATTTCCCATTTCTTGTCCAATTTCCCACCTCCTTTTGACCTAGGAAACTTAACTGTCTATAGTCAGCAGTTTCCAGTTTCTTCTTTCCTTTCCTTCTGCTTCAAAGAGCTTCCCTTGGGCATTTGGCTTCTCTGCCGTGCTTCCCTGTGCTGATTTTGCATCTGTGGCCTCCCTGATACTCATGTATAACATGGACTTAAAAATGTTGGTTGAGCTCTTCAAGTCTATAATTAAAATTTTCAGAGAACAAATTTACAATATCGCAAAAGCACTTCCTCCCAAAAAAGGAGAAAAGAGAAAAACAAATATCTGAGTTCCATTATATATATTGTGTATGTCCTTTCATTTCCCCTTTTGTTATGTTCATAATGTCCATGAGGAAATAATAATTCAAATTTAGAAAATAGTTGACTGATATTCATGTGCCTTTTGCTAAGCCAATCAAATTACTGGATCAGGGCCTGGGCAGATAACTCAGTAAAATAAGCACTTGCCTGGCAAGCACAGGGTCCTGAGTTCAATCCCTGGTAATGCAAAAAAAATATTGGATGATTATATTAAAGGTAGAATTTAACTTTAGAATTTAATACCTTTGCTTGTACAACACATTGTGCTTTTGATTCAGCTATACATTATTGCCTAATTATTTTATTCTGAATAGCAAAAGAACAGATTAATATTATGTTGGTTTTGTTTATAAGAGAACTCCATACTTGAAGCAAATATGATGTTTGCTGAATGCTTTTTCACACCAAAGATAAAAGTACCATGTCATAGATGAAACAACTTTAGACTTCTTATTATTCTATGTAGTTAACTCTAATAAGAAGCTGTACATCTGATAATAGAAATATAAACTTCAGAGCAAAAGTTTTAAAAGTAATATCAAAACACACTGAATCATTGAAAGTTCTGCTCAAGGGTTCTTACTGGTGTGAGAGGGAAAGATGATAGGTGATTTTGCCTCTTGGGGATGCTTGGCAATGTTTGTAGACGCTTCTACGGCTGGGGCAAAGGACAAAGGCATTACTGGCTTCTCTTGGAAGAGACCATGTATACTGCCAAATGCATTGCAATAAACATGGCAGCCTTTCTAAGAAAGAATAACCTGCTCCCAAGTGACAGCCAAGATCTAGAGATCCTTATTTAAGGGATTAGAAACAGTTCTCTGTCTGAAGCTGCTAAAGCAGTGGATGCCTGAAAGCTCCTTCTTAACTTCCAATTGTGCTGTAGTAAGAAGCTCTAATTCCAACTCCATTATAAGTAAGTTAAAAAAAAACATAAGATGTTGTAACAATTGAACAATATAAGAGGAACATGTTTAGAAAAGTGGTGAAAAATGACACATTTCTTTATTTTTTTATTTTAATGTATCTAATAGAGGATATACAGGGTCTCACTATGTAGATCAAACTCATAGTGAGCCTCCTGTTTTCAGCCTTCCAAGCACTGGGATTACAGGATTGCATCACCACGCCCAGTCTCAGTTGCTGTCTCAGCAAGCCCCGGGGCTGGGGCTGGCACAGCAGGCCAGAGATCGAATCCCAGTCACTGTACTCTGCTTAAGCAGGCACTTTGGTCCACTGAGCTATTTGGCCAGCTCTTCTACAAATGACTCATTTCTTTATATATTTTCTTCTGTTTCTATTTTTTCCCCAATGATGTATTAGTATCAACACTCTGCAATCAATCTGTGTCATTTTCTTATGAAAAGCTTCTCTCTCTCTTTTTTTATGTATTCATCCATTCATTTTGTGTGTTTTGCTCTAGAGATAAAGCTAGACAAAAGTTTAAGTAGGCCAGGTCCTCAGACTTCTATCTCTAGTTTTAAATGATACTGCAAATTGTAGAGAAAACTTGTTAGAAAAATATAACCACATATGAATATATGACATATGTTCATAAAAGACAATGAATGCCATATATATACATATATATATATATATATATATATGTCAATAAATATATTGCATGGGCCAGCAATATAGTTTGGCAGCTTAAGGGCCTGCCTGGAAAATGCAAGGCCCCAAGTTTGATCCCCATTACCACAATAATCAACAGTCAATCAATCAATAAATATACATTGAAGCAGAATATACATTGCCTCTCAGGTATTGTTCTTCAGTGTGGACAATTTACCCAAAATTGTACTTTGTCTTACTATATTGCTGTTACATGTTTGATATATTCTTTGGCCTGTTTGTCTGATTTTCAAGCTGTTTATATAATAACTCAATCTATAAGGTATTAGAATATAAATAAATGAATCAGATGGTGAAAAAATTAATGGGAGGTGGAGGGAAAGGGTAAAACCTATTGAAAGGTATCATGTACATATACCAACTCCTTGTAGCATATATAATCATTATGTACTGCAAATATGTAGTAATAAAAGTGAGAACAAAATAAAGCCAAGAAAGCAACAGGAAAGAAAAAGAAAATACATTGCATCAATCTAGAAAAGACTCCCCCTTGTTTTCCTTGCCTAAGTACCATCTTTCTTGCTACTTTCTGCAGCAGTTCTGGAAGACCTCTCCTGTGACAGCCTTCGTGCTGTCCTGACTCAATGTCCTGAACTGATTCAGCACGTTTACATTTCATGGTCATTTTGACTTCAGGATGCTGGATCTAGTGACCAAGACAGACAGCCACACTATCTTGATTTGGAGACCCTGCTTTTCTATTGGGTAGCACATAGCAGCAGCAGTTACTAAATTTTGATCACACCTCATAAAGACTCTCCTGAAAGAGTTTCAGAACTGTTCCAGAACTGTTTCAGAAAGTGGCAAGAATTATTGCATAAATGTGTTGGAAAGAGGGGCGATATTTTGAAGAAGATTAATGGCAACATGTCTGTTGTAGCAAGAAGCTTTTTATTTATTATTTATTTATTTTGGTGGAACCATGGATTGAACTCAGGCCCTTGCGCTTGCCAGGCAAGCACTTATTCTACTGAGCTGTCTCCCAGGCCCAAGAAGCTTTTTAAAAAATTAAATATTCAGTTTATATTTTGAGCATATATTAGTGTGGAACTTTTTTAATTTGGAAAGACATTTAATGAAACTCTAAACAAAGCTTGTGAAACAAATACATAAATTTGGAAACTGAAACTATCTCTACGAGATCATCATTTTTCAATTCATTTTTCCATGAAAGTCTCATTAGACAAAG